ATGGTGCGCATGCCGAGTAATTAGTAAGTTAACTACGTCCTTCGGTTGTATGCGCGGCGTGCCAACTTGTCGGCCAAGCTCAGCCGAGGAGTAAAATTTGTTGATATTGCGTTGGGTGCGCTGCTGACTTCTTAATCTCGCGACTGTGGCGGAGGAAGGAACTTGTCTCGGCTTTCGGGTTCTAGAGCCTGAAGACAAGGCTGCTAACTTAGCGAAGTTCAATATCAAATTCGGCTTTCAATGTGCCGAATGTAGTAACTTGTAACACCTCACTTTGCCGAAAAGGCTAATGAGATGACCTCGAACAATAAGGATTCGGAAATCCTTTTCGACCGAGACTTGGATAGATAACCAACCATCATCGCCACAGTGCTGTTGATGCCAACGGAAAATGCTACGAGATCGGCTGAGTTTACGGTGACAGAGCTATCTATGCTGACTGAAGATATCATCGTTTGCTTTCACAGTGCTATTGATGCCAATGGAAGATGTGTGAGTGAAAATAAAAAATAAAAAATCTCAAAGTTGTTGAGAGAGTTTGCGCAGGGCAGTTGTGTGTTGAATTGAAGGTCTCATTTCACATTGCACATCGCCTCTGTATTTATAGAACTAAAGTCCTGGCTCTCCATGGTCAGATAATGTTGCAGAAACTGACTGAAACTCAAATTTGTGAAATGACTGATCCACGACATAGGCGCTAAAGCCTATCTTCATAGGGCTGACTTTTCAAAATAATAAAGGCTCATTTTGACTTATCTTATCATGACTAAAAACCTAGGCTAGCTAGGCTTTCCTATGTCATCATAACACCACCATAAAAAACCTAGCTTTTCTAGGTCTTGTCACATCATCATCACCCAAAGTCACCATTTCCTTACCCATTGTCGCATGCAACCTGACCCTATGAATATTAAATTCACTTTTAATTATCACCATATTTAAATGGATAATAATCTGATCAGAATCCAATCCCCTCAGTAGTTTCCAAGTGACCTCATTTATCTGATGCCGTGCATATCTGTTAATCAAAACTGATCCAAACCATACTTCCACATCAACTTGAATTGTGCCGCCTGTTTAGCTTGGAGATATATTATTTTCAAAAGAAAATGTCAAGATAAATCATTATTAAAAGATAATGTTATCTTTTAATATAAAATTATCTTCACTTTTCTATATAGAGGTATGCTTCCTCAACGACCTCGATTGCTCGGGCCGATAGTGTAATTTTGGGTCTAAACAATTTCATATTGTTTAATGTTGTTTCATGTTACTTAATTTAATTGTTGTATAATGGCTTAGGAAGTTATAGGAAAAAAATATAATTTAAAAAAAGGGTAAATTACATAGTAGCCCCTCAGGTTTGAGGTCTATTGCAATCTTATGCAACATCTTTAAAACATTTCACTTTCATACCTCAAGTACTATTTTATTTCAATTTCATACAACCGTTAGATTTTTCATCCATGGATCTGTTAAATGCTGACGTGGCTGCCACATATATGACACGTGGCTGCCACATGTCTGCCACATGGCAAATAAAATAATTTTTTAATTTTTTAAAAAAAAACCTGAAATTGGAAGAAGAAAAAAAAAAGGGACCGAACCCAGAAGAAGGAGGAAGAAGAAGAAAGAGGAGGAGGAGGAGGAGGAAGAAGAAGAAGAAGAAGAAAAAAAAAAGAAAGGGGTCCGAACCCAGAAGAAGGAGGAAGAAGAAGAAAGAGGGAGGAGGAAGAAGAGGAAGAAGAAGAAGAAGAAGAAAAAAAAAAAGAAAGGGGTCCGAACCCAGAAGAAGGAGGAAGAAGAAGAAAGAGGAGGAGGAGGAGGAAGAAGAAGAAGAAGAAGAAGAAAAAAAAAGAAAGGGGTCCGAACCCAGAAGAAGGAGGAAGAAGAAGAAGGAGGAGGAGGAGGAGGATGAAGAAGAAGAAGAAGAAAAAAAAAAAGGGACCGAACCCAGAAAAAGGAGGAAGAAGAAGAAGAGAAGAAGAAAGAGGAGGAGGAAGAAGAAGAAGAAGAAGAAGGGACCGAACCCAGAAAAAGAAGGAGGAAGAAGAAGAAGAGAAGAAGAAAGAGGAGGAGGATGAGGAAGAAGAAGAAGAAGAAGAAGAAGAAGAAGAAAAAGAAAAAAAAAAGAAAAAAGAAAGGGACCGAACCCAAAAGAAGAAGAAGAGAAGAAGAAAGAGGAGGAGGAGGGAGAAGAAGGAGAAGAAGAAGAAGAAGAAGAAAAAAAAAAAAGGGTCCGAACCCAGAAGAAGAAGAAAGAGAAAGAGAAGAAGAAGAAGAAAGAGAGAGAAAAAAAAGTGGCAGATATATATATATATATTTTTTTAAATTAAAATTTTATTTTATTTGCCACGTGTCATATATGTGGCAGCCACATGTCATAGATGTGGCAGCCACGTCAGCATTTAACAGATCCATGGATGGAAAATCTAACGGTTATATGAAGTTGAAATAAAATAGTACTTGAGGTATGAAAGTGAAATGTTTTAAAGATGTTGTATAAGATTGCAATAGACCTCAAACATGAGGGGCTACTATGTAATTTACCCTTAAAAAAAATATGAAACAAATTTTTTGAAATAGATGTTATAGAAAAAAAAAAGAATTTAAAATAAAATGAAACAAATTTTGTGAAATAGAAGTTATAGGAAAAAATCAAATTTAAAAAAAATATATGAAACAAATTTTGTAAAATAAAAGTTATAGGAAAAAATAGAAGTTATATGAAAAATTTTGTAAATAAAAAATAATAATAAAACTATAAAAAAAAATTATTCAAATGCAATGGCTAGCGACTAGCCATTGCATTTGATTGTTTTCTTAAGAAATCTTGTTGGTTATAACCGACAGGAAATCCGACACATTTAAAAAAATTCTGGCTAGCCTGGGGCTGGCTGGCTGGCTGGAAGTGGCCAGCCCTCTAGCCCTTTGGCCCTTTCTGATTCTGTGAGGCCCTCTCAGATTCCACAGGCCTCTGGCCTAGCCCTCGGTTGGAGACGGTTTTCAGGCTATTTTCGGCCCTCTAGCCCTTTGGACCTTTCGGTTGGAGATGGCCTTAGGATGCTTTGGGGGCCACAAAATGATGGCGGTTTGGGTTTTCAGAATTTGTAGTTCAACCTGGCTCTACTTGCTAAGCAATCTTGGTGTTTAATCCACAATCCTACCTCGCTTTGGGCCCGGGTTCTAAAAGACTGATACTTTCCCCAAGTATCATTTTTGGAAGCTAAAAAGGGTGGAAGGGCTTTCTAGTCTAGCTTGCTGGAAGGGAGAGATTTACTTTTGAAGGGAGCCATCGGCAAATAATGAGTGGTGATCAAACAAAGCTTGGGCTTGGTCTAGCTTGCTGGAAGGGATATATTTACTTTTTAAGGGAGCCATTGGCAAGTAATGAGTGGTTATCAAACAAAGTTTTGACTTGACAGGTAGGTCCCTAGCATTCCTTTGGGGGCACCTAACACCAATCCTTGGGACCATTGTTGATGTCAACCAACGAGTTTCCTCCATTATCTGCCATGAGGCTAGGTGTTGGCAGTTGGACAATATTCGTGACATCATTCTTGATGTGGTGTGTTCTACTATTTCTGACACTCACATTAACAATTCCAGATGAAACGATCGGTTAATCTGGCCGGCAAATGTGGGGGTCAATATACTGTTAAATACGGTTATGGGCGGCTTCATGCCAATGCTCTGTGTTTGAGAACTCGTCGACCCTCTTCTTCCAAGGTCGTGGATCCTGTGGTGTGGAAGTGCATTTGGGGTATCAAAGCCCCTCATAAGGTTTGGAATTTCATGTGGTGGGGACTTCGGGGAGCATTAGCAACTCAACTAAGTTTATTTAAGAGAAAGTGTTCCCCCTATTCTATCTACCCTATCTGCAACGAGTAGGAGGAATCTGTCGAACATGTTTTACTTCTATTTCCATGGGTTAGCCCGTGTCTGGTTTGGTCGACCTTTGAATTATAGGGTGGGCCGATCTTCGGTTAATACCCTTGATGCTTGGATCTTAAAGGTGGGTTAAGAGTGTTATGGAAGTAAGGAAGAGAGGAAGCATTTCCTCACGACGGTTGCCTTCACTTGTTGATATATTTGGAAGGGCTGGTGTAGGGCTATTTTTTACCATAAGCCTTCGTCCCTTATTCAAACGGTCAATGCCATATCTTCCGTTGTGGAGTTGTTCGCGCATATTGGCGCCTAACTCCCTGATCATACCCCTATTACACCGTCACATCAGCAGCGACCTTCATGGACTCCTTCACCCTATCACATGGTCAAAATCAATGTTGATGCAAGTTGGAAGTTGGGGAGCTATTAGGGTATGGTTGGGGTAGTGGTTCAGGATTCATTGGGTGGATGTCTTGCGGTCAAAAGGCGGGTTGTCAATGCGTCATGTGCTGTTGTGGCTAAGGCTTTCACTGTGCTTCAAGGTTGTCTCCTTACCCAACAAGAGAACTGGCCCCATGTCATCATGGAGTTTGACTCTAAGCAAGTCATCTCTAGTCTGCAGGGTGGTACTGATAGCACACTGGGAGGCAGTCCATGTCCTTTCTCGGGAACTGGATATTGGTGTCTCATTGGAATCTTGCACTTGATCATGGGTCCCAATATCAGGGAACAAAGCGGCGAATTTTTGTGGTGTCGTATCAATTTACGGAGATGTGAAATTCTGTTTGGGTTGATCTACTCCCATTTTCGTTTGTAAGAATCTTGAACAAGGATGGCTTGCCTTGTCCCCCTAATTAGCTAGTTTTTGTGTCTTTCTTTGTCTGTTTGCCCTGGTAATATCAATTTTAGTTCCTAAAAAATAAAAAAATAAAAAAAAACACGCGGTGTCCCCTACATTAGGGTTTTAAGAATGATTAACATGTGGTGTGTTGTCATTGCTGTGATGTAGAAGTAGGATGAGGGGATCTTAGGGGTCAATTCATCTTAGTCATTTATTGTATAGCATGTAATCAACTACTGCAAGGTATTATTTATGTTTAATTTTAAATAAAATAATTTAAAATAATATGACCTCAATATGTGAGAGAAGAGAAGAAAAAGGAAGGAGGGATCCTACTCCATTCCGTAGAAGTACTCACCGCACCATTCGGATTAGAGTCAGAATAAACAAGTGCGGACCTGATTTCGCCGGCTACAAGAAAAACACAGCAAGCTGCGTAACACCAGATCCTCAAAACTCTATCTCTATCTCTGAAACTCTCGCAAAACCTGTCTGTTTGGTTATGGCGCGGAGCTGGAGATCCAATCCGGTGGTTCTCGTGCTTTTCCTACAGCTCTGCTTGTCGCTCATCTCTTCGTCGCTCGCAGTTTCTCCCGGGTACGATTGAAAAGTTCTCTTTTATCCATACGAACTACGACTCACCGACGATTTCTGAAATTAATTTTGTTCAATATTCTAATTAAATTATCTGTTGCAGGTCTGCCGACGGATACACCATTCATGGCAGAGTGAAGATCCCACCCAGTAAGTCTTTCAATTGAATTTAGCTTCCTGTTGACTGTAATTTGTACCCTTTCGTTTTTACAGAAAAGTTTGAAAAATTATGATTTAGTGTGCAGATTTTGGTGAATTTTTCGTGTTAGACGAATCAAATAGTTAGTTAAATTAAGAATAAGAATGTGAATTCAAAAAGACTGAAAATCTGAAATTTTGATTGATTTGTTGTTGTATTGGGATGAGGAGATGGATGTAAACTGTTTAGGGCTTGTGGAATAGGACTGGTTTCGTGTTAATTTGATCGGTTCGGGTAGTTTGTGAGGTTATGGATTTTTACCCTGATTTTGGACGAGTGGTTCCAGTGTGGACTCAGAACTAGCTAAATTTGTGTTAGAAGATTTGCTCTGGGAGGTTTAGTTTGGATTACCCTCTACACTTCAATCACCGATATTAAACTCAAATTTCTTCCAAGGAAAAAGTTCTTTTACTGTTGCATTCTGGCTATTAGTTAATCGGACTCTGTTTCTTTCTTCTATGACACAAGTGCGTAGCCCATGTGTTTTAAGTCATGAATTTTTTATTCAGGTCTCGGGGTGAAGGGGTTTGCACCTTACGGAAAAATATCAAATATCAAAGTCATACTAAATGGTGGTCAAAGTGTTACCTTTCTGAGGCCTGATGGATTTTTTACATTGTATCCTATTTGTTCTCTTGATAAGGATATTTCTAATGCTGTTTTTGTATGTGCCTTGTGCGTATGTGTTTGATATTATATCCCGTAATAGAGAATCAAGAAATGATATATTGATTATTATGTATACCACGTTTCCTTAATGTGTGCGCTTAAAGCCATAATGTGCCTGCGGGGACTCATTTGATCGAAGTGTCTGCGATAGGCTATTTCTTTTCTCCGGTGAGATTCCTCTATATAATTGTCTCAATACTTTGTGAAATGGAAGGATCACAAATCTGATATCCCCATGTTTTCATTTTCCTAAAAATGTTAAGGTCCGAGTTGATGTTAGTGCTAGAAACCCTGGCAAGGTTCAGGCAGCACTGACTGAGAATAGGAGGCCTCTAAATGAGTTTGTTTTGGAGCCATTGAGAGAGGAACAGTATTATGAGGTTCGTTTTGGTTTTTTCATTCTTCTTTTTATGTTCATCACATTTCTGTATTGTTATGACTGTTTCACTGCATGTCATGTTTGTGTCATTGCAGATAAGAGAACCCTTCTCCATAATGTCTCTTGTAAAGAGCCCCATGGGTCTGATGGTTGGATTTATGCTAATTGTCGTGTTCCTGATGCCAAAGTTAGTGGAGAACATGGGTAAGTGATGTATGCTTGTATAGGTTTTAAAATTTCATCTATAAGATTGAGACTCTGGTGTGCTTTAGATTTACTTCCATCAATAAGATTCGTAGGGACTCGGTATTCTCTTTTGAGAGTTATCTAGTCTGAATCCTCCCCTAATGGCATATAGCATGTTTTCTTACCTTCATCAATTTTTTACTTTTTACTCCTTAAATGGCTGTACAGTATTTAAAATGCACTTGATTGTTACTTTTAACTGCTGATTTTTTCCCCTCTATATATAAATGGCTTGCAATTTTATCTCCTCCAGTAATACCTTTGTTCAAATGAATGGCATCTGTTTTGATATTATTACACATGCCGTTCATATTCATCCCTTTTTGTGTCATATCATGCTTGTTGATGGTGGTGTGTTTTGGTAGAGTATACGTTTGTAAGAGTTGGTGAATAAATAATTTTTATGGTGACAACAGATCCTGAAGAAATGAGGCGAACACAAGAAGAAATGAGAAACCAAGGCGTTCCATCACTGACAAGTTTGTTACCTGGTGCTGCGAGGAGTTAAGGATTAAAATGGAGAAGTTGGAACCCTCTCTGCAATGGAGGACTTGTCTTTTCCTGTCCAGAAGCTGGGAGCTTGTGTATCTTTACGGTTACGAAAGAAATCCAAGAAATATTACGAATTGGTCTCTCTTTTTTATTTTTAGGTGTTCAAACGCTTTATGTTTATGACATGTTTACTTACCAAAAATATGTATGAAATGTTTTTAATTGCTCGTAAACAGAATATGGCATCAAATTTACGCTTTACTCCCAATGGAAGGTTCTCACGCATTACTCATTTTTTGCCACCATTATGTGAAATTCAAGACACTCTGACTGAACCTTTGAACTCGAAATTTGTATCTAACTCCTTTTTGTAAATTAGAATAATTTAGAACATAGCAAATGATGAATTGCCTTAGTGGTTAGAGGCTTAGAACTTTTTCTCTTCAACCCACTATGTTTGGATTTCAAACCCTCCCTTTTGCTCTTAGTATAGATTAGTCTCAATATCGGTTGCACTAAAAAGAAATATAATTTTGTTGAACAAGATAAAGCTTTATAAAACCTGGAGGCAACATTGTCCATACCAAACTGCCTGGCAACGGACTGCAGCTTAATGTTATTTATTTTCACTGATAAGTGAGATGTCTTAATTTCGATTTTTGTAAAAAAAATGAATTCAAACCACTTTATTGCTAGGCGAGAGGAAACTGCCCACCCCGGATAATATGGATTGTTGAAAAAAAAAAAAAAAAAAAAACTAATCGGCTAACCGCTCCAAATTTCCAACCAAGCCTCTACCCTTCTCTCTCTCTCGCGGAAAATTCGAAGTTTATGATTTCAGATGCCTTCCAAATTCCGCATAACCTAATGCAGTTTCAGAATCCCTGTCCGAATCAGTAAATCCGCCACTAAATCTGCCCCTCCGATTTCTCCACCGAATCATTGCTTTGCACTCTTCGCTGTCTCCGTCTCTGCTGATTCGGAATCGGGGATGGAAGGCTTGCCGACGATGATGAAATCAGAGCGGCGATGGCGATCGAAGCCGCTTCAGACCTCCAAGCCCTCCATTCTCATGGCCTTCTCCTGCGTCGCTTGGCTCTACGTCGCCGGCCGGTACGTTATCTCCTTCCAAAATTGTTTCCAAAAACACACTCTTCCAGCTTTAAATATTCAAGTTTTACTATTCGAATTCAAATTCCTGAGCTTTTTTTTTGATCTGGTACAATTCAGTGTCGATCGCGTGTTAAGAGTTCATGTTAATTAATTATCAAGTTGATGACTTGTTTGGGAAATGCAGGTTGTGGCAGGATGCGGAGAACAGAACAGTGCTTTCTAATCTTCTAAACAAGAACTTGGGCCAGGTTTGATTTCGGACCCTCTTTGTTTGGAATATTTTTTATTCGAGTGATATCGTAATTAATTTTATCTAAACTACGGGCGCGGGATTTCAAACTTGGGTGTAGAGTTTAGAAGAACTCGGGGCAGGTTTGATTTTGGACCCTCCTTGTTTGGATTTTTTATTCGTGCGATATTGTAATTAATTTAATCTGAACTACGGGAGGAGGATTTGAACTTGGGTGTAGAGTGGGCACGCAGCTCTTTTGTTTTGCTTTTTTCGATTTTGATTTCCCAAGTTAATCCAACCCGTTGAGATGAAATTGCGAAAATTGGTGAATTTTGTTTTTAATTCAATATTACTTCTGTGATGTTTCAGAGACCAAAGGTTCTCTCGGTAGAGGACAAGTTAGCAGTGCTTGGATGCAAGTATGCCCCTACTTTTCGTTTCTCTTTGATCGGTTTATTTGAGTTGTGTGTAGTTTAGTGTCCGTATTAATGGTAGCGATTTGTAATTTTGTAGAGACCTGGAGAGGAGGATTGTGAAAGCTGAGATGGACTTGACGCTGGCCAAGAGTCAAGGGTACCTCAAGAACCACTTGCAACCAAAGGTGTCTTCTTCTGGCCGATTGCTCGCTGTTATTGGAGTTTATACTGGATTTGGTAGTCATTTGAACCGAAATATGTTTAGAGGGTCTTGGATGCCTAAAGGTCAGTTGGAATTTCTGATGGCAATTTATACAGATTTACCACGTGTTCTCTCTCTGACTAAACTTACGGTGGCATCGCTTGAATTCAGATGAAGTATTGATTCTCAATCTTTTTACATACACTCCTCTGGTTTGAGTTTTATGTTCCATCCTGTTAAAAGTAGCCCCTTTGTGAAAGTCAAGGTATTTTTCAGTAATCCCGTAGTGTTCATTCAGGCACTCCCTTGGCCTAATTTGAGTAACCGATGTTAGAATGAGTTGTACTGTATGAATCAGGTTAATGCTGTTCGATATGCATACTAAGACAACCATTAAGGTGTAATTATTGTTGACAGTAATAACAGCTGGCAATGCCACATCAGCTTAGCTAATAGACTATTGGTGGTTATGTTGGTTAGAGGTGTTATAACTAACTGATATAGTTACTGATGTAAGTAGTGCAAACTATATAAGATGTAATGGAATTACTGTAATCTTCAAGTCAGATCAATACATAAGTTTCTCTCTCTAAACATTCATTTTCTCTCTAGAACTCTTCTTTCTTCTCCTTTTCTTGTTCGAGTATTCACTACAGATTTGGATTTCAGTATACGTTAACATGGTATCATCGCCGTGTACGTTCCTTGGTGGCTATTGTCTTCCGCTCATGGCGGTTGTTGCCGGAGATCTTTCTTGGTGACAGTCTTGAATTCGTGAAGCTTAATCAGTGTTGTGCGTTCAGTCGGAGGCTTGGTGTTTCTTGAAAGTACAGTATGTTTTCTGCACTCTATCTGTTTGTGAAAATGTCTCAAGGTTATTTCTTCTGGGTTTGTTGAATTTTGTGCCAAAGTAAGCAAGGCCGATGCCATCTTTCTGCAATCTTGATTTGAGATATAAGGCTGAAGCCATTATCTCAGTGTAAACTGTTAGTTTCCTCCATAAGGCCGATAGCCAGAGTAACTTTCTTGCAAAGTTTGTTGTTTGTTGTTATTGGGTGCAACTCCATTAAGGCTGATTGCCGGAGTGTAGTTCTTGTGCAATTCTGTTCTCTTTCTTCATTAAAGGCCGATTGCGAAGAGAGGTGTATTTCTTGATTTCTGTGGTTATACAACTTGTTTGAAATCTTGGGTTGTACTTTTGATAATCTTTAGTGTGTGAAGATGGCTGAATCTAATGTTAGAATTGAGAATTTGTTAGGGATGTTGACAGGAAAGTTGCAAGATGATAATTTTGTGAAATGGAGTTATCAATTTTCATCTGTGTTGAGGGGGTATGATTTGTTTGATTTCTTCACTGGAGAAGCACCATGTCCACCTAAGTATGTGATTGATACAGAATCTGGGGTCACAAATGAAATTAATGCTGTTTACAAAGATTGGGTGAAAAAGGATCTAGCTTTGTGAAGTTTGCTAATTGCAACTCTTTCGGATGATGCTATGGAACATGTGATTGGATGTAAAACATCTTATAAAGCTTGGAAATGTTTGCAAGAAAGATTTGCCTCTGTCTCAATGGTTCGTGTGAATCAACTTAAAACTGAATTGCATACTGCTCAGAAAGGTGGTGATTCGGTTGATAAATTCTTAATGAGACTAAAGGGCATAAAGGATCAATTGGTATCTGCAGGAGAAAAGGTTACTGATAATGATTTCATCATTACTGTTCTTTCTGGTTTGCCTGCTGACTTTGAGATGATTAAGACAGTCATATTGGCAAGAGATTCTCCTATGTCTATCAAAGATTTTCGAGCACAATTGCTTGTAGCAGAAGGCAGTATTGAATCTAGAATGCATTCTTTATCTAGTTCTATGTCTGCCATGGTTGTTCAAGGTGAAGGATTAGGTTTACAAGGCTTTCAAGGGTATGAACATGGTGAGAGTTCCAATTCTCAGAGGTCTCAGGTTAGTCTCAGCAATGATCAATTCGGTAACAACTTTCAGAGAGGAAATGGTTTTAATGATCAGTTTGGTAGTAATTTTCAGGGAGGAAATGGTTTTTCAGGAATTGGAAATGGTAATGGTAGTAGAGATTTTCCGTCTTCACAGAGAGGAAATTTTAATAATAGAAAGTTTGGAAATGGTTTTCATCAGGATTTAATAACAGAAATGGGAATAATGGTTACTCTGGAAGTGGTAAGAGTTGCAGGATATGAATATGCAAGTAATGGTTTCACCTCAACTAATTCATCTGCTGGTCATGGCAATTATAAGTCCAATTGGAATGGGAATACCAACTCTAAGTACTCAGTATCACCTGAATGCCATATATGTTCGAGAAGGGAACACACTGCACCAAACTGCTACTATAGAGCTGAGAGTGGTTCTGTAATTTGTCAGATATGTGGAAAGAGGGGGCATATAGCTCTTGAATGCTTTCACAAGAACAACTTTACATATCAGGGAAATCCTCCACCACCACCATTGGTTGTAGCTATGACAGCTCAAGCCAATGTAACTCAAACTGAAGGATCTGGTGTTGGTTTTATTGCTGAAGAAAACTGGATATTGGATTCAGGTGCAACTCATCACATGACTGCAAATTTAAATCATCTTAATCATGTTATTCCTTATACTGGTGATGGAACCATTACAATTGGGAATGGTACAGGATTGGAAGTAACACATATTGGTTCCACAAGCATCCCTATTTCTAAACAATCTTTGATGTTAAGAAATGTGCTCTGTGTACCTAAAATCATTGTGAATTTACTTTCTGTTAAGAAGTTATGCAGAGATAATGGATGTTGGTTTATATGTGATGATGTTGTCTTCTTCATAAAGGACAAGGCAACAAGGAAGATACTGTACACAGGGACAAGTGATGATGGGGAGCTGTTTTCAATTCCAGTCAATGTCTTTGCAAAGTCTTTTGCTGCAAAGTTGGAGCACTGTGCTGGCTTTATTGGAAAGAAGATTCAAGTGTTGAGGTGGCATAAGCGGTTAGGTCATCTGTCAGAAGAGGTGCTTGCTGCAATGCTGAAGAAGTTTAATAATAGTGTCAAAGTAGATAGTTGTGAGTCCATATGTTCTTCTTGTATGAGTGGTAAAATGAGAAGACAGTCGTTTCCAGTAAGACAAAATACTGCTACATGTTTGTTTGAGAAAGTTCACACTGATGTATGGGGGCCATCTCTAAAGGTGTCTGTATAGGGTTATAGATACTATGTGAGCTTTGTAGATGAATATTCAAGATTTTTTTGGATTTTTCCAATGAATAACAAGTCTGAAGTGTTTTCCATATTTGTTAAGTTCTGTGCTTTTATACAAAC